CTCATTGGAACCAAAATTGAAATACATAGGAAAACTTCCCAAAGCCACTTGTTTCTTTTTTAATACTCACTGCTGTGCTCGTAGCTAAGAGCGTAAAGTGTCTATGTACAAAAAGAAATATTTAACTCCATTTTGCAGGAATGGAAAGAAGACAGAAAGTTCTGGTGCCACGAGATGCTTTCTGCTGCTTGCTTTGCCCTCGAGAATTGCTCTTTAAGCTGCCTGCCATGGGGGGAGGGGCCGGGCGCTTCCTTTGAGAGAGAGAGGGAGGCGGGCGGCCCCATTATTTCTGCCCAAAGAGAGATGGCAGTGATGCTTGACCTGACAGGAAACCCTGGTGGCAAAGCAGCCTAATAGGGTAGGAAGACATATCTAACGGTGGGCCGAAAGGCAGGCTGTATTGTCTTGGTTAAGTTGTGGGTTGATTGAAGAGGCAGAGAGCAAGGAGTGTGACTTCAGCTCTTTATTGCTACCGTGTAACTCTAACAATCTCCGCCTGGCAGTTTGCTCTTTTACAGGAGCTGCCAGGCGCCTCAACCAATCACTTTAAGCTATTCTTCCCGCCTGGCGGCGGATCTGAGTGAAGCCTTCACTTCTTTGGCTTCAGTCAGTGTTTACTGAATATCTAAAGAACCTTTGCCTCCTGGATGAAATCTGTTCTCTTTGGATAAAAAGGACATTTCATTTGAAGGTGGACTATAAACCTAAGAATAAAACCTGATTACAGAGTGTCCATTCCTCCTAACAGACCACGTATTAGCCGTACAAGATAAAATAAAACAAGGATAATCTCATATTTGAAGAGCTTATTATTACCAGTCCACGTGAATTATCTGCTCAAGCTCACTTCATTTTGTATCATGCATTCATTAGAAGTCAAATCTATTCATATGCAGAATTTCACATACATTCTTTGGATTGTCTTATTTTTAGACTTAACTCAGGCACCTGGAAAAATGGTCTGGCTTCGAAATCAGTTGTTGAGCATGCTGCTAGATGTAATACAACCAGACAAATTTCATTTGTCCTCTGAGTAAGTAAGAACGTCTGTGTGTCCGTGTGTATACAATCTCCTTTACAGCGGTAAAGTACAATGATAAATGTACTTTTTATTCTAAAGTCAGAACATAATACTTTTTCTTTCTGTAATCTATCCTCTCCAGTAATCAAAACTATAAATCACTTTATTTAAAATAATAAACTGTTTAATCAGCAGAAAATGACACAGATATTGAAGTAGAGAAAGTTAAGGGAGGAATGGGAGAACAATAGTTTTGCTCCGTTTTCTATCTCGAATGCTTTCTGCTCTACAGTCTGTAAGAAAGATAAAATAATGAAGGAAGGAAGGAAAAGTTTGGATCTTATGACAGATCCAAACAGGATTCTTATGAATTGTCCAGATGTGTTAGAATTGGCAGGATATAATTTTTTTAAACACACACACACCAAACCATAAAAAGCAGGACATTGGATTCCGTCTCCCAGCAGGATCCCTGACGCTGCAAGGAAGGCTTTCCTTCCGGGCAATGGGAGCCAAATCAGGGCTCCTTCTCCTGCTGCCGCCTCAGAGAGAGCCGTGGGTGAGGAGGCAGGGCAGGAGCGATGAAGGCTGAGGCTTCCTCCTGGCAAATCCCTCTCCAACCTCGATCCAGAGTTGGGGAGCCCTCCTTTGCTTCGGAGATGCACGAACCTCAAAATCCATTTCCACCTTGAGTTGCTTTTACTTAATCAGAGGAACCTATTTCTATCTGAACAAGGTTAAGATTAGCTGTAACTGAATATTTGTTACGTTTGGGATAACTAAGGGATTTTAAAAGCACAACAGTTGCTCAGGAGCTAGCAAATGTTTTCAATTTCTATTGTTCTAGTAAGTCCACTATGTCATATAGTTACAACAAATAACATTTAAGTGTTGTGCCTTTCAACCCGGTGTTTCCCTCACAGGATCCAAGAAGAAATGTTCCAGGCCTTGGGCCCTGACTGGTTCCTGATGTTTATGCAAAGTCACGTGCACAAAACCACAATTGTGCTGGCAGCCAAACTGCTGTTCCATTTCCTGCACAACCGCACACACCTGCATGAGTTCAGAGAGGGGATTATGGCAGGCCTGTGGCTGAGAAACAGCTTAGAGGGGCTGAATATTTTGACTGGTAGGTCCTCAGTGCTTCCGGTTGGCTTGCAATGTGATGCTGAGACTAGCTGTGGATCATGACTAATTATTTCAATAAATCGGTCATCTCTCTCCCTCCCTCCCTCTATCTCTATCTATCTCTAACTCTGTCTATCCTCTGTTTGTCTCTATTTGATTTCTATAGAATTTATTAATTATTTTAAGATGTTTTTGCCTTTTGTTAAAAATAACCCTGACCAAATTTGAAGGAAAGCTAGCAGCCCAGCTCGGATGGTCAAAGGATTATGGATTGTGTACTAATATCACTTTCACTGCCTCCTCTTTGGGCCTGATTTTTCACGCTTCAGGTTTTATCTGTTTAATTGCTCAGTCAAAAAGAGAGAGCCATGCTTTTGGTTTCTTATTTGCTGGCCAATACAATTTAATTCTGGTTATTTGGTTGATAAACCTTCAATCAATCAATGTTGAGACACTGTTTTATTTCAGGTATTAATGGAGACAGTAATGAAAGTAGGAAAGTTTAAATCAGCACAGCCAACATGGAAAGGGAAGTGAATGCAGTTCGGTTTTGGGGAGCATATCCAACCCGTAGGTCAAACCCCTGGTTTATTCGGCCAGAGATAGTTCACTCAAAGGCCTCTAGCCTGGCTGCACCCCCCACCCCCCATGGTGAGCTTCTGTCACTCAGAGCAGCCTGTGAGAATTGCAATGAAGGAGATCACGGGGCGTCTGGTCTCCCTCCTGCCACCATCTAGAAACTTCTCTGCTGAGACCAGCCACCACCGACGGCTGTATTACGCAGCATTTCCTTGAGTAAATATGATCAGAAGACAGTCTGGTCCCTTCCTGGGGACTTCTTTTATCCTTGAAGGGAAACAATAATAAGGATATAATAAATAATACTAAAATATGATATGCTGGTATACTAGAATTAGTAGAAACTTGTTATTCTGTAACCATTAGGTTCCTGTAATACATGTATAGCCTTTGTATTTGTATCACATATATTATGACTTTATATTTCCTGTAACAAACATATTCTGTTATTAGGCCTCTGTAATGTATCTGGTATTTGTCAAACATTTGTTCCTGCCATTTGATCTGAACCCATATTAATCTTCTTCCTGTTTTTCTTGTGCCATCTAAGAACATGGTACGTATCTCAGTTGGAACTGTAGACATCATCCAAAGAATAATTTACACTTCAGCTCTAACTTACACCTTTGATTTGTATAAGCTCCTTCCTTGCAGAACCAGGGGGCCAAATGAGCAATTGGGAGAACAAAGGAATGCTCAAGGAAAAGATAACGCTAATTGGGAGGCTTCTATTCCTTTGCAGGGCAACAAGGAATACATAAACCTAAACTAGGAGGCCAGAATTAGGTACTAAGCTGATGTCTCTGAGGGTATAAAAGGACGCCATACCTTCCCCAAGGTGTGGCTATCTCCTCGCATGCATGTTATCTGTATGTTCTGGATATAGTCCCACCCAATATTTTGTTTTTGGCCATAAATAAAATCTGTGTTGTTGTTTTTTTTTTTGCAAGCCTCGTCTTGAGTCTCTCTCTTTGGCATTCTGGTGACTCAAGTATATTTTGGGACCTTACATCCTGTAAGCCAGTAAATTGGCAGTCAGCTCAGAGAGAGCCTGATAAAAAGTTTCTTGTTCTTTGTTTTAGACAATTTGAAGAGTTCTCCCCAGTTATTTGAATATCAGCCATATCCACTCTCTGGATTAATGGAGCTAAAGATGTTCCTGAGCAGCTCAACCCACATTCCAGAGATTTACCTCCTTCTCTCAGGACTTCTTCTGGACACACCAGTGTCTAAGCCACTTGATGAAACTCAAGTAAGCCACTGCATTGACATGGTAAAGCATGGGAAAAGGGTTTGAAGAAGCTGAAATAGTTTATTGAGCAAAGCGAAAGGACAGAAACTTTATCTGTGAATAAACCCTACAAAGGAAATTTTCACAGAAAAGGCAACAGAACAAGAAATGTCAATATTCAATAGAGGAATCTTCCTTAAGCTACTGAGAGCCACTTCATGTCAGAGAGTGCAGCAGCCTTGGCCTAGATTATCCCCAGTGTAGCCCCTTTCCTGGGAATCAAATCTCTCCTGAAGCTCATTTTTGGGAAGTTCCAAAACTCCCATTGTATACTATCACAATTATTCTGTGTATTGTTTACATCTCATGCCTATCAGCTATCAAAACTTTATTTGAAACAGGACCAACTCATACAGCTTAGAGTTTTAAAAGGGTAACCATATAAACCATTACATTAATCTTTTGAAACAGTCCCAGAGTCACCTAAAAACAAATTTGAAATATTTCTGTCTGCATATTTATTTCTTAACTATACTGACATTGTTGTTTTAGTTTTGGATATTTTGAATATTTGAATACTAATTTTCTTGTGCTGGTTAATCACCACCATAAAGTAAGATATTAGGAGGAATTTCCTGGTGGCGAGAGATGTTAACCCGTAGAATTAATTTCCACATGAGGGAATAAGTTCCCCTTCCCCAAAGCATGGCTGGATGGCCATCTGTCCTTAGAGTTAACAAATGAAAGTTTTAGTAACTATCTATGATTCTATGCCATGCAATCCATCTCTCACAGCTAGTTATTGATTAAACCGCACAAAATCTTTGTGTGTGTGTATGTGTGTGTACACATTCAGGTATATCTTGTTTAATTCTTTGAGATGATGATGTGCATATATAAATTTTTGCAAAATAAGCATAACAGGAAAAAATGCTGATATAAATAGTCCTACTATCACATTTTGATTTCTTTGATTTTCTTTTTCAAAAATGTATTAATGAATACTTTTCACTAACATAAAGAACCTTAAGGAACAACAAATTGAGCAGTGTTTTTTATTTTGGCTATCCACATCAAAGGAGCTTTTCTCAAATGTGTGTTGTGATATGAAGATGCAAGTTCTGCTCCTGATTTACTTATTTTAGTGTCACAAGAATTTGCATCACAGTATCTTGATTCAGGTTCCCACCTTTGCCCATATTTTGGATAGAATTTAGAAGTAGATATCATGTTTTAACCTGATGACCATTTTGGAGGTATTGCTGAACGCAGGCCTGATTGTTTCAAGAGGAGCCACCTGGACATCCTGCATTGTCATTTAGCAGTGTGGTAAAGCTAATCCTTTCGGCAGTTTCATGAGATGTTCATTTTCCAGGCAGGTTTGGGTGCAACATTCGAGTGGCTGCTGTGCCACCATCACACAGAGATGGTAGTCAAAACTGGCTTATGTGCAGAGGCCGCCATTCTGTTGCTGGAGATGGTCTCGTCCCTCACCAGGCAGGTGAGTCCTGTCCTGGGGATGTTGCAGGCTGAAGCCCCACAGCCACTCGGCAACAATGGAGGGATGAAGCAGCCCCAGTGGCTGATTGGTCTCTGTTTACACACCTGAGCTGAGGCTGTTTTGAAAATTTAGAACAAAAGAAAAGAAAAAGGGTTAAAGAATATGCCAGTAGACAGGAAATCTGGTCAGCAGGGTCACTCTCAGACTTGACCTTCTGCCATGTAGAATGCATTTGGATGGGGGCACATTTGTTTAGGATGCCAATCCCTGTTTGTCAACTGGGTTTCAGTTATATGCAGTAGTTTCAGGGATGACATGCTACCAGTTCGCACCGGTTCAGGTGAACCGGTAGTAAAAAAAAGCTACCGGCTCGTCTGAACCGGTATTTCCGACGATCAACTGTGCCGTGCAATTTATATTTGCTAGAAAGCAGAAAATCCTGTTTTCTAGCAAATCAAAATCACGTGGCACAGCTGTTTCCCCCGCCCCCCCCTTGCTTTTCTACTTACCTTCAGAAGGCTCCTTTTTCCACGTGAAGCACGCATTTGGTGCACACTGTGCATGCGTGTGCGCAGCGTGTGTTTGGTGCATGCTGTGCATGCGTGTACAGCATGAGTTTTGTCTGCCGTGCACGCGTGCACACAGCACGTGTTTGGCACACACCACGCATGCGCGGGCAGCAAACTGGTGGCAACCTGGAGAGGATTTCACCACTACTGTAGTTTGTTTATTTTATTTAACCAAACCTCTTTGTGATCCTTGATATTGAATAAAATGCAGTATAAAGCACTGAAATAATAACGATTCCAAATTTAAAAATTCAGTTGAAATAAAACTAAACAGGGTGGAGAGGGAGGGAGCAAAGTATGCACAAGGAGGAGGAAAAACATCCCAAAAACAGGATGGAAATAAGGAATGAGAAAAGAAAGACAAATTGCCTCAAAAAGGGAAAAAGAAAGAACAGCCAAACTAGTTTTCAATTCAGTGACAGGAAGCCTTTCTGAAGTTTTTCAAAAGTGTCCAAGCTTTTCTTTCTCTGTTATTATTTTTACGTTCCCCTCATTTATTTTCTGTTCTCTCAATCGAAGTAAAACCTAAATAATTGAATGGCTTTTGGTGAAACTTCATGACTAAGCTTTATGTTCCCCTTTAGATTCCCGCAGAGGGAGAGGATTCCTGGCAAACCAGCTTCATAAAGGATGTCCTTCACTTCGTCCACCTGGTGTACCAGAGATACCCCCAGGACCCCCTCTGGTCCAGCTCTCCCTTCCTCCAAGCCCTGGCCTTGGCTGCCTTCCCCTCTGGGCCACCCCAGGTAGGAAGGGTTGCTCTTCGGTCCAGATGGCCGATTGCCTTCTGTCCTGTTCAATAGGCTGGTTCAGCCAGCAGCCAGCGTCAAGGTAATTGTAGTGACGGGACAGACCATGAGTTGGTATGGAGACGGACGGGATTTTTTTTTTTTTCCCAAACAAGTTTTATTGGCTTTTTCTTTCACACACATATTTTATGAACAGAGTATTGACTGAATCATATCTTCTGCCAAAGAATTCTTTTTCCCTATTTTTTTTATCTTGTCTTAATACTTCTATACTTATTATATAAACAGTATCACCATCCACCCTCAAATCCTAATTTCTTAACATTATTTCAGTTGGTTATCTTATCTTATCCATTGTTAATTATGTATATTCTCTTTTAACTTTCATATTAGTTCGTTCTTCATCCTAATAAGTTTGAGTATACTCGGGGTTGCCCTTCTACCATTCCATCTCTCTTATTTTACAACAATCCTTCTTCTCCTTCTCCTCTCTTTCCCTTCCCTTCCTTCTTCTATCCTTTTCTACTTTCTTTCCTCCTCTCCTCTCCTTTCCCTTCCTCCCTTCCTAACCTTCTCTCCTACTCTTATTTCCTCTCTCTTTCTTCCTCTCCTTTTCCCTTTCTTCTGTTCCTCTCTCTCCTTTCTTTCTTCTCCTTCTCCTTCTCCTTCTCCTTCTCCTTCTCTCCTCCTTCTTCTCCTTCTCCTCCTTCTCCTTCTCCTTCTCCTTCTCCTTCTCCTCCTCCTCCTTCTTCTTCTTCTTTGCTTTAATTTATATGCCACCCTTCTCCGGAGACTCAGGGCGGCTTACAATGCGTTAAGCAATAGCCTTCATACTTTTGTATATTTATACAAAGTCAGTTTATTGCCCCCACAATCTGGGTCCTCATTTCACCTACCTTTGAAAGGATGGAAGGCTGAGTCAATCTTGAGCCTGGTGAGATTTGAACTTGCAGTAATTGCAGGCAGCTGATGTTAATAACAGTGCTTTAGTCCACTGTACTGCAGGCTCTTTTCTTCTCCCCTCATTCTATCCCTCTACTCCTCTTTCCATTCTCTCTCCATTGTTGTATTCATTTTCAATTCAATATTTGCCAAAATGATATCCGGGCAACCCCGATTTTTTCTCTATTTATTAAATATGTTTCTCACAATCCCAATCACCTTTTTTTATTTTATTTTTTTTTCATAAAAAAGTTTTTTTATTTTATAAACAAACAAACAAACAATACATAATCAATCATTCAATATATCTTCTGAATGCATCTTTTAAGTCTTCTTTTTGCTCCTCCAATATTTATCATATCTTAATATTGTCATTCCCTTTATTATAACATTTCCCCCATTTTTCTTACTTCTCTATTAATACCTTAATCTATCTTTTAATTATATTAAAAATTAGACAACCATTTTATCCCCACACAACCTTCAACCCCCCCTCCCCACCCCTCCCCACGACTTCCCAGAGCAAAAATAGGGTATAGCATTAAACTAAACATAAGCTAAAATATACTAACTTGCTACAAGATTCAAAGCTCCCTCACCCTCTTTAACTCCTCTTTTAAAAATTGTTCATCAGCCTCCCCTTTTAAAATTCTAATTTAAACAATTTAAAACTTTCTTTAAAGCATATCTTTTTATTTATTTATTTGTTTTAATTAGTATACCGCCCTTCTCCAGCAGGATTCAGGGTGGTGAACAGCCAGAATAAAACAGAACATACAAAATTTAAAAACAGTTTAAAAATAATTAAATATTTTTGGCCACAATTTAAAACAACCCAATTAAAATCAATTAAATTTAACCAAAAACTGTGGGATAAAGCCAGCCTGGCTAGGGCTTTTTAAGAAAAAGAAAAAAAAAGAAAAAATTATTTTGCATCCATTCAATTTTAAATTAACCATTTTAATACTTCATTAAATTCTTTTTTTTTCCTCTCAGAAAAAATACTTCAATAAAATATTCTTCAGAATATAACCTTAAAGATACTATTAATCCATTGAGTTTAGTTATTTCTAACTCTTAAATTCATTCTTCAAAATATCAATTTCAAAACTTTCAGAAAACTATCCATTAACTTTAAAGTTAACCATTTTAATACCACAATCATTTTTTAAAAAGCTATCCATTTTTAGTTAAACATTTTTACTTAAACTTAAAAAAAAATGCTAATTTCAATAGAGTTTTCAAATTTATTATTAAGATCCTCCCCAAAAGAAATTAATCTTCAATTCTTCCTTTCTTTCTATATTTTTTCCAATCCTTCTTCTTCAATAATACTTTCTCCTTCAGCATTGCTCCTCCCCCTGCTTTTATTTTCGAAAATTTTTGAATGTAGATTTGAGACTGATGCATCTTTGAAAATCGCTCTCTCCTAAAAGTTATCTCCTTCATTTTGAAACCTCCATTTCGACTCTTCCTGCTTATATAATCAGTCACTTCCTTTCTTAAAGATTGATTCTGTCTATAAAACCAAGAATTGTCACGATAAAATTTATCAGTCTGCAGGAAAGAGTCTATTTGCTGCTTTTCAGTTAACTGCATAGAAGCCTCTGCCAAAACCTCTGTTTTCAATGTGCTAACTTCCATTGTGTTCCTGACAGTCTCTTTTCCCTGCTCCAAAGACAAATTAGTTTGATTTTCTTCTTCTTTTCCAGCCAGCAAATCATTGTTGTTCTCCAGATTATAATTTTGAATAGTCCTTTCAATTGATTCCAGTAGAGCAGAGGTATAGAAATTTAAAAGTTCTTGTAAAACCTCTACAGTCACAACTTGTGAATTTGCTGGCTCATATAGTAATGATCCTCCATCCTTGATGTCAGCCATATTTCAATTCCCAGTTTAAGTTTATTCAGCTATCAGGTCAATAAATCCAATAATTTTCCACACAATTTAGAAGTATAAAGTAATTGAGGTCAATACCATAGTCTTTTTCATTTCACTAGCACTTTAAATCTTTTTCTTGCCGCGTAATCCGGTAGCTTTTACAATGTTGCAGCTTTAACGATCACTTTCACTTGTAAGTTTCATTTTAATGCCCTTAAGCGCCATCTTTTTTCTTTCTTTTAAACGGAGTTAAAGTTTAATACTTGCATTTTCTGTTCTCCTGATTTGCTCTGCCAGCATCCAAATTCGAATTTTCTCATAGTCCTTAAAATTGCACTGCTGGTGTGGTCGCGACTCCTTGTTCTGTATAAAACAGAATCGTCCCGGATCCGGAGCACTGAAGGGCTTTCAGGGAGCTCTCACCCTGCAAACCCCAGGTTTAAAAAAAAAAGCCTGGGGGTCTAGGGGAGCTCTACCCAGACCCTTCTGCTCTTTTCTCCCCCTTTTTCCCTGGGGGAGAGTTTCGAGCTGATTTTCGCTGTTCTAGCGGCAAACAGAATCACGGGGCTGGAGCTCCTAAAGGGGCGTCCATTCGGGGAACGTGGAGCCACCAGAAGCCCCATCACCTTTTTTTATTGTTAACAATATATTTCATCTTATTCCATTTTTACATTGAAACCTTTTAACTTAGTTAACCTTCCACTTCTTACTTCCTAATTTCTTATCCTAACATCAATTAATTATTTTATTTCATCATTTACTAACATTTCAATTTTATATCTTAATTTCAATTATTTCCATAGTTAAACCAAATTACATTTCATATTACATATTCTGATCCATTTTACAATTAACAATATCATTCATCTTGTTTACTTCTTACATACAATTTCTACTATTAACACAATTCCCTTAATTCAACTAATAAATGCTTTATTTCCCTTTTTTCACTCCATTATTCTTCCCCTTTTAACCATTTTCTTTTGGTCTCTCCAAGATTCCACTTCTTAATATTTTTTCCCCTTTATCCCATTCTCTTATCTTCTTCTTTTTCTTTGTCTTTTTATATTTATTGTATCTTTTCCCCTGGATCCTTTCTCTAACTATTAAGACTATTACCCTCATAATTCTCCCCCTGTTTTTACCCAGTCTTTTCCCATTTCCATCTCTTCCCTTCTTTTGGGGGGGATATTCCCCCATCCATTTTTTTGCGCCACTGTCAATCCCAGTGTAATTATCTTTTTACCTTCATTTATTTTCCCTTCAACATTTTATTCTTGCTTCTCATTTTTATTCTCTTCTTCCTTTTTTGCATATTCTAATCAGGCTTTTGCTTCTTTATTACCCCTAAATGCTTCAAACACATTTTTAAACATCTCCATTAGTTCCTAATCTTCCCAGTGCTCCATATTCCATATGTCAATTCAAAAAATTTTTGCTTTATGTTTAATTAAGATTCAAGTCCATGTAGTCTCTCTTTTTTTAAAATTTCCAAGTATTATCCAGTTCAAATATTTATCTAGTCCATTCCACTTTAAGACTTTGTTCTTTTTCACCTCCTTTCAAAGTCAAGACCCAGCTGTTTAAAAGTAAACAAATACTCCTTAAAATTTATCACAGTAGTCGAAATCCTTTAGTCCTTTTATTTTCAAAGCAATTGTTGTAATGCTTTCTTTCCACCAGCAGGTGTCTCTCTCCAATCCACAAATCCCAAGACAACAAAGTAGCATGTTTAAATCCACATAGAAAATACTTTCTCTTCAATTTCTTTTATTTCTTTTTATTTTTATTTTTATTTATTTTTATATGCTGCCCTTCTCCGGAGACTCAGGGCGGCTTACAATGTGTTAAGCAATAGCCTTCATACTTTTGTATATTTTTATACAAAGTCAGCTTATTGCCCCCACAAACCGGGTCCTCATTTTACCCACCTTAGAAAGGATGGAAGGCTGAGTCGACCTTGAGCCTGGTGAGAATTGAACTCGCAGTAATTGCAGGCAGCTGGATGTTAAATGCTGCCTTAGTAGGAGGCATTAGCCTCCTACGCCACTCAGGCTCCTTCTTTTCCTTTTATTGTTTTTATTTTGTCCAAATTCCATTTAATTTCTCCAAATCCAATTTTAACCCCAGGTAGAAGGGTTTTTTTTTCCTTTTCCTTTTTCTTTTTTTGGGCTTTAGTCCTTTAACTTCCTCTTTGTTCTTCTTTTTCCAATTAAAATTCCCAAGTGCCAATTAGCCACTTATTTCCATGCCAGGACCTTCTTTAAAGCTTTTTTTAAAAAATTCTTTTTACCTGTGAGTTGGCCAATCACTCACTTGGTAACAATACTCCATTCAATCATCGCTCCTGCACAAATCTTAGTCCAGTTCCCCCAGCTTCAGAGAGGTTGTTTCAATGGCTGCCGCCCCCACCGCCGGTTCAGAGAGCTGCCTCCGACCCTTTGAGGAACTTGCCTGTTCCTCTTGGTCATCCGAGGCACCTCTCCTTCTTCGCTGTCCCTCCAAGACGGTTCCAGTCCGAAGACCCCGACAGCGGTTTGTCTGGCCGGATTTTCACGAGCCTTGTCAGAGCACGTTATTTTCCAGCCAGTCTCGCCGTGACACTTCCGGTTCCTCCTGAAGACAAGATCTTTATTTATTATTTATTTATTTCATTAATTTTATTTCTATATTGAGGAATTTGAATTCCTGATTTTTTTTTATTGGATAAATCTAAGATCCAGACAATATTCCTCTTATGGCTGAATCTGAAATTTGACATTCAGGGATGATATTCAAATCGTACCAGACAATTAGATGACAGAAAACAAATGGATGAATAATTGTCAGTTTGTTGCAAAAATCAAATCCAGAAGCACATACAGATAAACTGATTCAGCAGGATTCATTAACTTCTTTATATACAAGAATATATATATACAATACCAACAGCAGATTCACAGTTTCATTTCAGCTCAGGTAAGCAGACAAGTTTACAGACACTGCTTTCAGTTTCTTTTTACAGACTCAGAAACTGCAGACAAGGACACGCCCTGGCTCCAGTCTGTCTCAGCTGCCAATTGGCTGACTTAGTTGCTATGCCTATTCATTGGCTGACCTTGTTACCATGTCTTCCCAGTCATGAATATTCTGACAATAATCTAGGGGTGAAATCTAAATTTTTTTGCTACCGGTTCTGTGGGCATGGCTTAATTAGTGGGCAGGGCTTGGTGGTAAGGTAACTGAGAGGGCGTGGCTTGTTGGTCAGGTGGGCGTGGCCAAGTCAATGTCACTTCTTTGCCCTTTTTTAACCTACAAAACACAGCACAACACAACTGACTCACCCACAATATAAAAGCAGCTGTGCTAGACCCAAAATGGCCCCTGCAACAAGCAGGAACCTCACACAGCCACAAAAAGCCCCAAAAAACAACTTTCACACTTTACACACACATAACACAATACAACACAACACAACTGGCTTACCCACAATGTAAAAGCAGCTGTGCTAGACCCAAAATGGCCCCTGCAACAAGCAGCAACCTCACACAGCCACAAAAAGCCCAAAAAACAAACTTTCACACTTTATACACACAAAATTCCACATACAGCTTGTGAGATTTTGTGTGTTTGTGTAGTTAGAGTGAAACACTACAGAAACACACTAAATCTCAGAAAGCTGCACAAATATTATTTTATTTTAATTTATTTTTATTTTTATATAAAAGCAGCTAAATTTAAAACTTCCTAAACTTTAAATGGCTAGGTCTAAAAAAAGAACAACTAAAAAAAAACCCCAATTAAAATAAAAAATAGTTATAACTATTTAGTTAAATAGTTATTTTTTTAAAGCTCCCAAAGGGGGGAAAAACTTACCCAATAAAACAGGGGTCTCCAACCTTGGCAACTTTAAGACTTGTAGACTTCAACTCCCAGAATTCCTCAGTCAGCTTTGCTTTGCTGGCTGAGGAATTCTGGGAGTTGAAGTCCACAACTCCCTGCCTGCTTGATTGCAGGCAAGGAGATTCATTTGCTTGCTGATGCAATGGATTGCAGGGATTACAGCAAGGCGTTGCAACCAACAGCTAAGGTAAGCAAGCTGAGAGGGGGAGGGGGAGGGATTTTTGCTACTGGTTCTCTGAACTGCCCGCCGCCATCGCTACCTACTCGCCCGAGCCGGTCCGAACCGGGAGCATTTCACCCCTGCAATAATCCCAATTGAACTGAAGTCTTTTGTCAGTCAAAAGGCAAATGAAAGAACTGCTTTCTTGAGAATCAGTTTGAAAGAAAAGACAGACTATAAAATTAATCAATAAATGATTCCTACTTTCAACTGTGCTTGGTCTAACTCTGCACCTAAGCCTGGGCTGTACTTTTTAGGCAGCATATAAATGATCTAGACATTATAAGACTATTTCTAATATATAGGGAAATGCTCGTTTTTGATCAGCTACATGTTGTCCTTCTTACCTGCCTCTCTTCCTGCCTCAGGGAAGAAAGTTGCCCACGCATTCATCTCTCACTCTACAAGCAGCCCTTAATTTAAACCCCCGGGTGGGAAATGCCAGGAAGCCACACTACAAACAACGTGTGCTCAGAATTTCTAAAAGAGAGAAGCAGATTCTTGGAATAATAGTTTGTAGCTACAACCCGAAAAGTGTAAAGCCATTTCAGAAATCAGGAAACTAGATGATGATGATAGTGATGATGATGATTTTGTTATTATTTAAATAATGGGAGGAAGTGGGGAGGACAAAAAGGGAACACGTACGTCATCAATGCTGGCCACTGCTCAGTAAGGACTCCCTTGCTCTTGCAATTGCTTTCCACGCAGCCATCCGACTATGGGAACATTAACTGAGTGAGAAGGAAGGTCCTAATGTGCTCTTTGAGCCTGGAAAAACAATTCTGAGCGAGTCCAAAGTGCTAGCTGGGGAAGGGGCATCTGGATTTTCCCGCAAAGCATGAGCTCGCTTACAGAGTGGGGCTGTGGGGCATTCTTGTTGGCAAAACCCATCTTTGTCTCTTTCCCACCAGAAATGGTTTCAAAGGGCTTTTAATTTATGGCATCCTTTATTTCTGCCATTGCTCATTTTCCGTATGCAATTTCATCTAACATCACGACTGCTGCTTTATTACGTTTTAGCAATCTGTCTTATTTGTGGTTTTATGTTGATATTCCAGTTGTTGATCTATTTTTTCCTTATGGGGGATAAAATATTAGTGTGGAAATACAGCACAACCTGCCGGTCCCATGCTGGGGTTGCTGATGTTTTCCTTTTCTTCCACGAGAGCAGAGGGAGCGGGTCCCGTCCCGTTGCCTCCTCCCAGGGAACTAACCATGCCGGCCTTTGTGATTCTTGGTTTCAGCCTCCAGCCAGGAAAGAAATTTGGGACTTGGTTCAAGTTCTCCTGATGGGAATAATGCTGCTGGACTGGAGGGACAAAAGTTGGCACCCCCTGGAGTTCATGCTTGAGGTCTGATGCGTTTGTCTGCCCCTTCAGTTGCGGGATGAGATGGAGGGAGGAGGGTTCAGGATTATCCGTGACTTGCCACGGACACATCCTGTCCCTTGTTATTTGCATTGTTACTTAGGAAAACTCTGCAAGTAGAAAAGTTTGATAAAACAGAGGGGAAGCGGATGCTTTAGCTCACCTTTTGCTGTAGGTCCCATGCATTCCAGAGTCTTTGCAAGATTTTGCAAGGTTCATTTCCTTAGGGATTTTACGATGTACAAGTATGGCTCTCTGTGCCACACTACAGCCTCGATAGTGAACTGTAGAGTATTAAGAGTATTACCACCCACTTTTTACTGAGGAAAAGGCCTGCTTCTGGAAACTGTTGTCCTATTCTTATTCTCTCATTCTTTTAAAACATTCTCTGAAAATGTTTTCACTCTAATGTAAGCTTCCTAAGAACATGGGGTTGGTGGGGGGTGTGTGCGGTTGTTGCTGTGTGCTAATAACACTAACCAATAAGAGTCCATCGCTTATCTATGATCGCAATACAGGCCTCTCCAGAGAATGCTGCTATTGAGCAAAAGATGTGCTTCCAGACAGAGCTATTGCTTTCCATGATAGAGATTGTCTACAACCTTGGTCAAAATTACAAGGAAACCTCCAGTTTAACAGGTGAGTGTCACTTGCGGTTCAGCCCTCTTTCTACCTGAATCTACCTGAAACACACAGAACGTACCGTGAGGTCCCTGCAGGTATTGCTGAACTACAGATCCCAGCATTTTTTCTTTCTTTTTTTTTTTTGTGCAAACAGCCATGCTAAGTGTTGGAAGTTGCAATTTAGCCATATGTTCTAAGGGTAGGCTGTCTGTAATGTCCCCCTGCCCCAATCTGGATCCCTGTGTTAAGCAGTGGGCAGGGTGGGTCAGAGGTCAAAGGGTGTCCCCCCACTCCTTTGAACCTTGTGCGTTATGCGTTCTTGACCACTTGTGTCTTTGACAAAGTACAGTGGAGCTTAGACAGAAGGAAGCTATTGATACCTTGCTTACTCATAAATGACGTAATAGCTTCTTAATCAAAACATTATTTTTAGAAATGAAAGTTTCTTCACTGAAGGTGTACATTTTTCTAATAGTTTAGACTGCTTGATTGCCGAGTATAAGGACTGATGTTTATATTTTATTTTATATACTAGATTTAGCAGTACAGTATATTTATTAGTATATATAATATAGTAACAATAAATATAAAATACAAGGTAACGCTTTTCTCTTTTTTCTTTGTTAGTTTGTATTTTATTTTGTTTGGGGTGGTCTCTTTTCTATATTTCTTTAAAATTGAATATTGTTTCAATAATTTTAGAAAAACAAAAATTAAGAAGACACCACATAATATTTTATCAGAAAAAAATCTGCAGAGATTTCCTTGTTCTTAATCGCATTTTAGAAGTTCAACCTTCTCTTCCCCCTTGCAGGAAATGGTGATACCAGGAGCGTTTTGGAATCTGCCAGTCTGCCTTATTTTCTAGTAAATGTTTGCTATTTTACTCAGAAGCTGGTAAGCAAACTTCACGAGGGAGTGTTGGTCACAGAGCCCAGGAAGACCATCCTTTTCATCGCAGAGCAAGTGCAACTGGTAAGGGCTCCTCCCCCTCCTCCCCAGGTGCCATTCTCAGCCATTTCTAGATAACAGCAGATGCACCAAGCGATGCCGCTGTAAGCTTATTAGGGATGGTTTCCACCCCAGAGATGCTACTTCTGTGACAACAAATAATTACCCTAAATTCTCTTTAAAATGGATTTAATTTTCATTGTGAGGGGATTGACAGCTTGAATGCTCACACATGCTCAAGCTTATTGGAGAAGGAAAGTAGTTGGATTATAGAAAATTTTGCACAAGGCAAAAGGACATTTAAGAATAATTATTGGATACGCGTTTCAGTGCACAATCTCACATGCCACAATTTAAAAACAACAGAGCAAAAAGAAACATTTTCATTTGTATTTGCATGTGGCTGAATGTCTGTAAGAACAAGCAAAAACAAATTCCTCAAAAAGCAGAATAGACTCCTTGTTCTGCAACATTTTGTTGCAAATCTGGATGCATAATTTTTAAAATCTTTATTTCAATTTCAAATCTTTATTGTCAGTGCACAACATATGTACAATGAGATTGATTGAGCTCCCTCAGTGCACCCCCCCAACACAATGCAACTCACAGTGAAGACAGAAAATCCCTAACCTAATAAATCATATTAACAAAACACCCTGTCCTATTGCACCAGTGTGAACATGTTACACATTGTGCCGGCCCTGCAGTCCATCATACTACGTAGTTATGATGTTATTTCTCATTCAGGAGTCTGACAGCCCACGGATAAAAACTGTTCTTCAACCTGTTTGTGCAGCTGGCTATACTTCTATATCTCCTTCCCGTTGGTAGGAGGATAAAGAAGTGGTGACCAGGGTGAGAGTTGTCCCTGAGAATTTTCCTCACTCTTCTAAGGCAGCGAGCCCTAGCAATCTCATCTAGTGGTATCGAGACAGCCCACAATGTTTTGTGCTGTGCTCACCAC